CTGCCAAAGATTCCTTTACAAATAGAGAAAACGAAACTGAGCCACAATGACAGAAGTATATCCCTTGTTGCCTGGGGGCTTGGCTTGGATAGGGTGAGGTGAGTGCATGTAAACAGACACCAGGGAACTTTTTTGGGGGGAGGTGGGTAAAGAAAATGTTCTCTGTACTGAGTGTGATGCTGGTCATAGGGAATACGTATTAGTCAGATTTTGTGAAATTGTACACTTAAGACTACCTTTACTGTTTTGTAATATAACATATCTATAAATTTGATTAAGAAAAATACTAACAAGTATGAGCATCCTAAAATTTGTAACTTTATATGCCAACTTAAACTAATAACATCCTTAATATATACTTATAGGGAAGTAACCAGCTGGGCATGGTGGTACATGCCTGTAATCTCAGCACTCTGGGAGACTGAGGCAGGAAAATGGCAAGTTTGAGCCCAGCCTGGGAAACTTAGTGAAATCCAGCCTTAAAATATTAAAAAGGGGTGGGGATGTAGCTTAGTGGAGAGGCCATGGGTCCAAGCCCTGAGACACACCCCCCAAAAAAACACCAGTAATCAGAAAATGGCTCATTTCATAATATATCATTTGAAGAATTTTTTACAGTTGAAAATATAGATTTTTAAAAATTCATCATTTCTTATGAAGAAAACTCAGAACTGGCAAAGGTCATCTTTTAAATAGTCTCATCCTTAAGTAAATGACAGGTATTTCTAATGTAATATCTCTGTTGATGACTTTTGGTTCTGAATACTCACCTACTGAATCTGGTGATGAATATCATTTAACCATAGCCTGTTGGCAGTGTTTATAAGTGTACTGGATATTTTTAGTACCTGTGGAGATTTGAAGAATGTATGCTTCTTGAAGTATTTTTCTGCCTGCTTCTTCCAGTCTCTCTTAGTGATTAATGAGAGTTTTAATTTGCATGCTCACTTTACACTCATTATATATTGTCATGTTCCAATAGGAGTATTAAAGTTCAATGAAAATCTCATGCATACTGATGAGAATGCAAATAAGTATTGGTGAAAGAATATTAGGATCTTAAGGCATAAACTGTCCAGTTATTTTGCTAAATTCTCTTCAAATAATTATACTATATTATAATGAGGACTGGTATAAAATCTAGCTTGATATAATTAGCAGTGGCAAAATCAGTATATAGTTTATAATTGGATAGAGGTTCTCTTTCAGATTGTTTTGAGGTTTAAAAATAATGATTTAATAGTAATCCCTTCTTCTATTCTATCTTTCACCTAACCTTTGCCAGCCTTTAGCAGGACATTTCCTATGTTGCTTATAGAAGTTGGGAAAGTGGGTCTGATTATATAAATGAGTGATCATTTTTAAGATTTCCAGCTTTAACATTTAATGGTTACATGACAAACAGTAGTGGGACCAACTATCATTTCAAGATATCTTAAAAGTGTGGTTATTGTGGAATCATAAACACATTTATTTCAGCAGTTGCATTTATATATCTATATAACTAAAGATCCTTTACATGATCCTTTAAAATGAAACTAAAGGAAGCCCTTATATCTTTCCTTAGAGAATAATTTCCCTTGACAGTGAATAGACCAGGTGTTATTTGATACAACCAGCACTTGAGTTCTATTACCGTCTTACATTTATGAATGAATTTTATAAACTTAAAACATGTAAACTTTAGAAAACACATATCCGAGTTTCCCCAACATTTTTACATACTTGGAATTTTTTTAATGATTTGGTTCAATTAAAGCATTTTTCTTTTCCTAACATTCCAAGAGAACTGTAAAAGCTGTATTATAAACTCACATATAAGACATATTGTTATTTTGAGGGTTTCTTTTCATGATGACAGTGCACATTATGTCATTACACTTTTTCATCTGATCTTATTATACCCACTGGTGTTTGTTTATAGACTATAAAAGTGTATGTCTTAGTTACTTTTCTCATTGAGACAAAATATCCAGTACCCAAAGTTAAAGGAAGGAAGGTTTATTTAGCTCACAGTTTGTAGAGGTTTTAGTTCATAGTTGACTGGCTGCAAGGCAGGGTAGCATGGCAGAGAGACCTCATGGAGAAGAAACAGTTCATGGCAGGCAGAAGGCAGAAAACAGCAAGGCAGTAAGCAAAAAGCAGCAACCCTCTTTCTGTTCTTTTTATCTTATCCAGCCTACCCACCATTAGGGTGGAAAGCCCTCACACCCAGGATAAGGTACTTTCAATCCTAACCAGAACTATATCAAACCAATCAGTGGAGTGATTTAGTAATCACACACCCTTGATCCCAGCATCACACACTCCAGATCCAGCCACCTCTGAAAAGCCCCACCTATGACTGCGTGAGACTTTGGGGAGAATGTTTAGACATAAACCGTAACAATGTATTCATTCATAATGACTTATTTTAGACAATATGAAAGGTTTTTTTCATCAGGATACATGATTGTTGATAAAGGCATTATACTTAATGATAGCCCTAGCATAAGGCTCTGTGTGTGTGTGTGTGTGTGTGTGTGTGTGTGTATGTGTGTGTGTTGCTAGGGACTAAACTCAGGAACTTGGACATGCTAGGGAAGCACTCCAGCACTGAGTCACATCTTCAGCCCAAACTTTTTCTTGTAAGGACCAGATGGTAGTAAGCATTTTAGGCTTTTTGCATTACTCGTCTGTTACAACTGCTCAGCACTGCTGTTGTAGCACATAGCAGCCATAGATACAAATGAGTATGACTGTGTTTCAATGAAACCTTATTTAAAGACACTGCAATTTTGAATTCTGTACAATTTTCATGTGTCATGTGTTATGAAAATTGTACTATAGATTTCTTTTTTCAGTCATTTAAATATGTAAAAACAAGCAATGGGCTGAATTTGGTTTACAGGCTAAAGTTCACTGAGCCCTGTACTAGCTGTTTATTGTTCTGAATTAACTTTCTAATCAAAAATAAAATTGAGGATTTATTGCTTAAAATCTTTTATAAGTATGTTACTCATATTGAATTATTTTAATGAAGCTTCTTTCCTAGAAAAAAAATCCACAAGTATAGGGAAGTAACTTATTTTAACTATAAAGAAACAATTGAAAAATTTTATAAATCACTTATTTCCTCAACTGCATGGTATGCTGAATTTTCTAATAAAGGTCAGAATCCTATTACAATGAATATTTTTATAGTAGAAGTATTTATTCAAGGACTATATTAAGAACCCAGTCTTTCAAGGCTTTTAGGTGATAGAAAAATAGATGTCCTGTGGATATATCCTGCCCATGACAACCTTACAGTCTAACAGGGAATATAAAATCTATACAAGTTTTGGTAGAAATGGGCCAAATAAGAGCGAAAGAGAATTCAGGAAAGAACATCAGGGATGGAAGTTCAGAAACAGAATGGAAAACATTGGAACTATATTGGAGATACATATATGTGATCAGTGCAAGAAAACGGAAGGAAATGATCACAGACCGACAGTTAAATGTTGCCGCTTCTACACCCTCAACTACTCAGTGCTGGACTTTTACAAGGATAGGTCTCACTGCCCTTAGTACTTAGATGATAAAAGGCAAGCTAGTAAGGCTGATCTGAAATAAAGTTGGCTGGTAAATGGACAGAGCTCAAGTTTTTACAGCCATTTCAACCAGGGTTTAGTTTCCAGTCTGCTACTAATTAGATGCATAGGCAAGTTACTTAATCTGACTGAGCTTTAGTTTCCCAATCTGTAAAGTAAGATCCATAATTCTTATTTTGTGACGTATAATTAAGGTCTTACCTGTTTCTCTCCTGATTACTGTTCTTTGCATGTTTCTCACTAAAGTCCAAAAGACTGCTCAGTAGAGCATGGATGGTTTTTAGAGCCAGAGACAGGATCAGATCTGGATTCAAATCCCACCGTTACTATTTATTTTATAAACTTGGGAAAGTTATTTAATTCCTGTGTACAATAAGCATACTTCAAATTTTATAATGAAGATTTAGTCAAATAGAATAATAAAACTGTGGTTTTCTACTTTCTAAACACCATATTCCCTACAGTGTATTTTCTTATATCCTGATATGCCAAGCAGATATTACTGCCCTTTGCTTGACTCTTTTATGTTTACTTTGTACTGGGTTGGGGTAAGTGTGTGTGTGTGTGTGTGTGTGTGTGTGTGTATGTGTGTATAGTTTAGTGTACTGTAATACTATTACAGTTTTCATTTGACAAATAGGGAATCTAATGCTTAGAAAATTAAGTAAATTGTCCCAGATGACACCACATGTAAGTGATGGAGTTGGAATTTGAACCCAGAAAATCTGGCTCTAGAACTTATTCTCCTAAGCACTATGCTCTGCTGTGTCTTCCATGTGGTTTTGACAACTTCCCCAGAGGCAGCTCTCTCCTCCTTTCTTTTTTCTCTGAAGCATTGAGCATAGTGCCCAGTACCCAACATGCACTCACAAATGTGCTGCGCTATCTCTGCAGCTGTCTTCCAAGTGTTAGAGCTAAAGCCTGATGATGCTTCAAGCATGGGAGGTAGCTGCTTGCTGGAGAAGAGAAATCTTTGTAATAAAAACTTTTTCTATGTCCTTTCCTTGCTAAATTGAACAATAACTAATTTAAACTTCCAGAATAATGTAATTTTTTAATACCTTGAAGTTTGCTATATTGTCATTTGGCCTATATGCTATAAATGTACTAAATTGAATTCAGGTGATTATGAGCTGTGAATTTAAAGATATGAAATTACCCCCTGCTTGTCTTTCCTCCACTGTTGTATTTCTTCATGACACCAACCACCACTTGATAGGTTAAGTTTCTGTGCTATCTTCTGAACGCCCTTCAGTAGTGCACGTGCTGCTATAGAGGAGGGACCTTGACCTGTTCAATCCCTTCTGCATCTCTAGTATGTAAAATAATGTTAGTAGGTGCTAAAAAATATTTTTATGCATAAGTGAATGCAGTGTTTACATAAACTACAGAGAACCAACACTTAAGTATTATTTTTCTTTCTAGCTTGGATGAGAAGAAAAAGAAATACTCCACCTACCATGGAGGTAAGAATACAAAACGAAGGCATTCAAGTAGCCTGTGTTTGTAATACTGTACTTGTCAATTGAGAGTTTGTACTCCAAAAGATACTTGAAGCCTCAAGGAAAAAATATGGTGCATCTTTAACAAGGTGTAAATTGTAGTTCATAGAAAATAATTTTAAATATTTAATAATAAAGTATTAATATACTAATAATACAATAAAATTGTTTGATAAAATAAATGGCTATTTTATGGAATATAACAAAATTCCTATAAATTATTGTGAAATAATAAAATTTTTAAAATATAAAATATACTTTTTAGAAAATTTAGACTTGCTATAGCTCACATCCAGTTATTTCTTCTGGGTCCATGGAGTTCATTTTTCTGTTACCAATATTTGGTTCAAAAGTTTGAGAAACTCAGAATCTTGGTTTTATCCAAACATGTCCTTATATTACCCTTAATTTTATATATTTAACTCTAGCACATATCTAAAGAACCTTAAAAATACACAATTAGCAAGTAGTATGTAGTAGTCAGTAATTAATAGTTAAGTTTAATTTTTATTTAAAACTTACTGCTTTGATGTAGAATAAAATGCTATGGTACATGTGCTTCAAAAACATGATTATTTCATAATTTTTAGTTTAAAACAATAGCATAATGTGTTCTAAAGTTATTTTGTAAGAAATAAATGTACTTCATAAAATGAAAATCTCCAAGTTCACTCCCTTTGTACTTTGTACTATCTAGGGCCTCGCTTCCCTATTTCCTCACAACTCTAAATCTGGTGACAACATAAATGGGCTCTAGCACTCGGCCTCCCTGTTGAGAGTGGTGACCCATTTACCTGACAGTTCTGTCATTGCTTGTTCCATTCCTCTTACACTGACTTCAGCAGTGATCCTTTGGGCAGTCTGAGTGAGCACGTCTTTTGGCCCATTTCTAGCTTTGTATGTTGCTTCTGCCTTCGGCTCCTTTTTTCAGACCCTTCTTTTCACCATCAATAATCTTTGGAATAATTTTTTTTAATTGCAATCAAAGATTCAGACATATCTCCAATGGTTTACAGCAGTCATACGGATAGAGAAGCCTTTCTAATTCCCTCTTCTCTTTGCCATAATAAAAGTTATTATTCCCAGAGGGAGAGGTACTTTCTGTACCCCAGAACTATGAACCACTCCTATAAAATTTAGGTAATTCTTGCACTTCAAACAAGCTCCAGTCAGAACAACGAGACCAAGTCATTCCTCATCCGTGACACTTATTCTCATCATTCTTGATTATCCAGAAGGAGCCCTCTCATGTTGCCTCCTTTTTATCAAACTATTAATCACAATGTTCTTTTTCTTCTCTCTATTCTCCCTAGTACACATACATGTACACACACACACACACACACACACACACACACCTTTTCTTTCCTCCTGACTCTCTTTATTAGATATCAGCAATTTCTATTTCTTTATCAGCAAATTGCCATTCATCATTAATATTTTTAGAAACTTTCCTTGGCACTGTTACGGTTTATATGTAGAAGTTCCCCCAAGGCCTCATGCACTGATAGGTGGGACTTTGGGGAGGTGAATGGATCATGGGTGTGACGTTGGGAGGTGAAGCCAGGTGGGAAGAGGTTGGTCACTGTGGACAAGGCCTGGAGTTGTGCTCGCTTTCCAACTCCCTACAGAAGATAGGGTCAACTTCTTGCTTTTCCTAGGTACTACCAAAATATCCTTCCATTTGGTGAGCCTAAAGAATTGGAGGAGCTTTGTGATCCAAGTGTATTTCTCTGTACCTGGTCATCATTTTTATCTTTGTCAACATCCAGGCCACTTTCCCACACTGATGGTAGAAATTAGAACCTGGCTTATAGTCTTCTCCCTTCAGTGTCTTCCCAAGTCTTAGCTGGTCAGTTCTTCATCCACACTAGCGTCCCTGCCTCAAGTGAACAGCTATTTCTATTAAAATATCATCTTAGTTCTTACCATCACCAAACCCCGTTCTACTGCTGTCACTTCTAAATTCTCCAGTCGCAGATCCTGGATATACCATACTAAGCAAAAAAAAAAAACAACTTCAAAAATGTATACAAATAACCAAATTAAAATGAAACATTTAATGAATTATAAGGCAAATTCTACCCAGTTGCTGACCCCGTAGTTATTCTTTTGTTTTACTCTTTTCATTTCTTTTCTCTGACCTATAATGTGTCAGTCTTACAGTTAACATTCGGAGAGGAATCTTATTTTTGAATTCCTGAGACTCATTTCAGTGTTATCTCCAAGTAACTGACATTGAGTTCTCTGTGCTTGGTATTATTAGGCTCATTTTATAAGTTACATAATTGAAATGTCTTGGGACTGACATTCTGAATATATAATCTTACTTTCCTATTGACTTAAATTGCAAAGATGGAAGTTATGTTCTTCTCGAAAAATAGATCACCTATTCCCAACCCAAATCTTAACTATATTATTTTTAGGAATGTAGTGGAAACTGATTTTTTTAAAATTTCAGCACAGGATATAACATCATTATATATAACACTGAGATATTACATCATTCCTTAAAAAATGAACTAGAGCTGTGTGTATCAGCATAGATAAATTTCAGAAACATGATATTGAGCAAAAAGCAAATTCCAAAAGATTTCACACAGTGTATCATTTCTATAAAGTTTGAAAGCAGGGAAAAAACAGTGGGCATTCAAGTAAAGATGGTGGATAAAACACATGAGTTTACTTTTTCAAATGTAATGAAAATAACAGTATATTTTTAAAGACAGAAACCCACAAGGTCAAAGAATATTGAGACAAAGCCTAACCATGTTTTGGAAGATAGACAGACAGTAAGAACTGTAGCAGAAGTGAGCATAATGAACCCTAGTCTGCAATGAAGCAGTCCTGAAATAACCCAATTTGAAGCACAGAACCCCAGAATGCTCAGTAACTGATAGTGCCAGGAAACTTTGAAAATGGAGTTGAGCTGATATTATAAACCATGGCATGGTTTAAAATTTGTTTAAGGCCAATTAGATTTCAACCAGTAAATGTGAAATAGTAAGAATTGGAAAATCAACATTTCTTTTACTACCAAAGCAATAATTGATTCCAGGAAAAATCATCAATGTGCACTCAAGCCATAAGTTCATATTCTTTTTGGGTAGTAGCCTGTTTACACAGTCTCAAAGTATCTCCTTATATTTTAGTTATTAGTTACAAAGGAGGATAAAAGGACCTTTCTAGTAAAAAAAAAAAAATCTAGTGGCTATCACCTCAAAATGTTCAAAAGTTTTACCAAGTAGAATAAGCCTGACATTATGTGTTCCTCCTTGTTCAAGGAACTGAGAATAATATAGTGTTCTTCCAAAAATGCATAATCCTTATGTAATCATGAGAAAACAACCAGAAAATCTAAATTGCAGGACATTTCATAAAACTCAAGACCAGTTATATCAGTGTCATGAACAACTAAGAAAGATTGATAAATATAACAGCTAAATGTAACGTGATTCCAGAGTGGGTAAAAAACTTGAGGTAATTGATGGAATTTGAACATAAATCGTGTATTAAATGATAGCCTTATATCAGTGTTAAATTTGAGAAAAAAAAGATGCTGTTAAATTCCCTTGTGGTAGTGTACAACCAGGCAATTTCTTTTTCTCTATCCAGTTGAAAACTGCATGTTTATACTTGGGAAAGAGAAAACAGTTCAGACTGTTTTCCTGACAAATTTGAGGGAGGAAGCACCATTCTGAAAATAAAGGTATTAAATGAAAACGTGCATACTGAAAATGAGACCTCTAGATTTATTTTTTCCTTACTAAGATCCAGGAATAAAGACCCTTATGCTCCAGGCAGGGTATTAGAAGATACTTCTCTTGGGGATTCTGACCAGCCAAGAAGAGGGCACAATTAAATTACTGTACAATGAAATTGAGTTGACAAGTCTCATCTATGGCACCAGAGCTTCCAGATTTATCTAGAAATATCCAACATTGGAGGAGAGTGTAAAAACAGAAATTTACACGTATAACCAGGCAAAGGTAACTCAAATAAAACTACTTAAAAACTTAAGCTCATTACTCTCTTCAGAGGTAAGAGAAGGTTTTGCAATCATGAAACAAGCACATAATACTACATGAGCGAAGGAATATTCAACAAATAAAAAGTTCTTGGAAAAAGAAGTATAATAGAAATGAAATATTTAATGGAAGTGTTACACTTTGTATTGAAGCAGTTTCTTATAAAGTAGTGCAGAAAGACAAATGGAAAACAGGAAAGAAAACTAGAGGACTAGCGACACCAGAAGCTAGACAATGAGTTCCTTCAACATTTGAATGAGTAGTGAGTGCCAGCCTAGAATTCTGTACCCAAAGATACCATCTAAGTTTGAGATGGAATAAACTTTATGGAATAAACTTTTTTAGAGGAGCAAATTCCCATAGATTTATCTTTTAGAAACTTTCTGGAAGTTACTAAAGGAGTAAACAAAGAAAAAGGGAGGAGTAAGATCAAGAAAGAAAATTATAACTTAGGCTAAGTATACTAGAATATGAGGGCAACCATATCAGTAATATGAGTAAGGAGGATCCATGAGCAATTCTTTTTCCAAAATCATGAAATAGAGTACCCTAATACATCAAAATATATCAGGTGGACTTGTAAGTAAGTACATGGAAAGGAAAAGTGAGACAAAGCCCTCATTTCCAACAATGAGAAGTTAAAATACATGGCTTAGAACTGAAAAATGAAAGAATAATATAAGAATATTATTTAAATATTATGGAATGTTTAAAAGCAGAGCTTACTTTATAACTTCAGGACACTGTTTTGGCTTTTTGGTTTGGCCTACACTATAACCATAAGCATTAAGTAAGGGTTGAGAATGTAGCTCAGTAGTAGAGAGCTTGCCTAAAATGTGCGAGGTCCTGGGTTTGATCCCCAGCACTGAGAGTAAACAATGAAACATCATGTAAAAGAGTGGAGATACTATTTTTTATAACAAGTTTTTATACGTT